CCGGGAGTGCCGGCACTCACGGGCAGGAGGAGGGGGGGCGCCGCTGTCGCCTCCTCGCTGTGCTCATCCTCTTGCCGGGCCAACGGTGCCGCCTTCACGGCGGAAACCGCTCTCCTGAGGCGAGGCTGAGCACGGGGGTGACAAACCCTGGACCTCTGGCAGCACAGCTTGGCGAGGTGGTGGTTTTTGGGTTTCGGCTGTGGAGCCTTTGCGGTGCTGCCTTCTTGCCCCGTAGCCCCGTGCCGCAGCGGCTGCAGGGTGAGAGGCCACCAGGCCTGGCCGCAGCCACAGCCACAGCCGCAGCCTAAGGTAGCGGCGTCCTGTGTGGAACTAACTACCAAACCCTCCGAAGCCCCAAATGGCAGCAAAAGCTCCGCTCACCCAGAGCTGAGGGTCAAGTAGGAAAAAAAAACCCAAGACTGCCCAGCTCGCCAGTTTCTTTGGGTGTTTCAGCCACCTCGGTGAAGCAGCGTTGCCTCCTTTGGCCACAGCACTTCAGAGGCCCTCCAAAATCGAGGAGCGATGCGCTTGTTTCCATAACAGTAGCTTATGTAAAGTTCATATTTGAAATAATGCAGTTTCTCAGGACTGGGATTTGAGGGGGGGGCTCAAATGGTGAGGCTATATAGTCAGAAAACAGCCAGAGCTGGTGTTTGGCCTTCAAATGTGGTGATAGTTATAACACGAGTGGAGGACACCAAAGCTTCAGGACCATTCACTGCGTGATGGCGTGAGCACATAGAAGTTAGCTTACAAAAATCATAGAATGAATCATAGAATGGTTTAGGTTGGAAGGGACCTTGAAGACCATCTAGTTCCACCCCCCTGCCATGGGCAGGGACAACTTCCACTAGACCAGGTTGCTCAAAGCCCTGTCCAACCTGCCCTTAAAGACCTCCAGGGATGGGGCATCCACAACTTCTCTGGGCAACCTGTTCTAGCATCTTACCACCGTCAAAGTGAAAAATTTCTTCCTAATATCTAATCTAAATCTACCTTCTTCCTGTTTGAAGCCATTCCCCCTTGTCCTATCGAACCAATGTTCTACAAAGATTGAATCTAAATGGTGAGTGCTATGAAAACTGTAAGTGATTACACTTAATAAGGTGACACTTTAATGCCAACAATGCGATCAGCAAAATTGCACGTGGCTGATAAATGACTGTGTCCCACAAACGGTCCCTTTCTGTTCACAGGTGATCTCTGAGGAATGAAGTGCCTTGTTCAAATTAATTTAACCCTGACTTAGTGGTTGACCGTGTTCACATTTCATGCATCCTAGCTTGGAGACCTGTGCACAGAAATAAAGCTTTTTGTGTCACTACTTTCTGGCAGTGCAGTACTGTGGATGTAAAAGAGTAGTTGAAGAGTAAAGGCATATTTTACCTGCTGTCATTGGCTCACTCTGTGACTTCAGCTCATGTTACTCACTTTACCTCTGTTTCTCCATCTATAGGTAGAGATGATACATTGCTGTCCAAATAAAGGCAAGAGAACACTGGTTTTTTGGCAAAAGTTCTCCATAGATGAAGAAAGAACAGGCAGGCTGGGAAGCTGTTAACTTTCTTTTGCTTATCATCTTCTTAGGTTGCATGTATGTGCTTAAGTACAAAAAAAAAGTCATTGAGAGGCTAACTAAAGCTAATTGAAGCAGAAAATACATATTTCTTAGGCAGTTTCTTCCCTGGCTCAGTATTGTGCTTCACGTCCTTGGGACAGAAACGACCCAATAAAAGGAAGTTAACTGCACAGCATTTATCATCGCCAGTGTTCTGCAAAGCTAGTATTACATAAAACATTCAGCTCTGGCAAAATTTATCCTTCTCCAGTTCAAATATAGCCTTCTCCAGTGTGTAACATAGTCTTTTAAGTTTGATAGCAATGCAAGAAAGAAGAAGATATGCCAAGAAGCAGTAGTAAAGAAAATCTGGAGGAACGACTTAGGGATTATCTAGCTGCTTTCCAGTATCATTTTTAAGATTTGAGTATTTAGTCAGTTATTTACAGTGATAAGAACTCTACTCAGACAAGATTTTTATGACATGAATAAAAAATGTACTTGAAATAAATACTAATTAAAGACATTCTTCATGAAATTCCTTTGAAAAAAGGGCTAGAGCCTCAGAAAGGACATTTTGAAGCAGCTGTGGATTATGTTAAAAACCAGATTGCATTCAGTTTACAATACTGCTAAAAAGAGGTAATATAAACATTGTCTTGCAAAGTGGATCAATTTAACCATCTTTTAAAAATACTTGGAAGAAGAGAGAATTTTAATACACAGACGCGTTATTTAAAGAAATTCTGTGTCAAGTGGTTATTAAAGCTGTAGGTTATTAAAGTGGAAATAACTTAAAAAAATCATATAAGCAGCTTAAGAGGGGGAAAGGTGTTATTTTCACATTCCAAAAACAAACTACAAGGAAATGTTTAAACTTTATTTTAAAGTTGTATATCTTATTTGGAAATAAAGATAAATGCTTGTTTCTCTTGTGTTTTGTAAGTCCTGTATCTCAATGCCATATCTAAATTTTAGAATTAATTCAACTTTTGCTGATTTGTTTTCTTTATTTTGCTGGTTTCTTGTTCATCCTAGGCACGTAAACACAGTAACAGAAATATGAGATACCGAGCGTCTGAAAGTAAAAAGGGAATCCTGGTGAATAAAACCATTTTTTTTCCAGAATAACCCGTACCCACAGACATG